CCCCCACTCACCCCCACGTGTGGCCTCAGGACTCAGAACGGAGGCGCCTCTGGGAAGATGGTGTTGCAATAGTGGGCCTCCCGGGAACTCGGCCCGAGGAATCCTCCCAGGCCCTGGACAGGTGCAAGGAGGGGCTGTCCCAAAACGAGCAGGGCCCAGGCAACGTGCAGGCTTGAGCAGGCTCTGGGGCTGAGACCAGGGCGGGTGCCAGCTCCACCATTCTCTGGCTGGGCCACCTCATTCCCTCTAGCATCTTTGTACCAGAGACATGGACATTCGCTGAGCGCTGGCCACGTCTCACTCGGTCCTCACATCACCCGCGTGACGGAGGTTCCGAGGCAGGGCTGCTGGCTGCCCACCCTGCCCCATGCCCCCTGTCCTTAGTAACAGGACTCCGTGTTCTCCAGAGCGGCTGTGGGCCCAGCTCAGATCCTGCTTTTTCCAGCGTCCTTCACAGCCAGGGGTGGCCACAAGACCAGGCGCTGGCTACACAGTTCGTTGTAAGGGGACCTCTGCTGGAGTTCCAACAGCCACCTCGGACAGCGAGGTGACCATGAGGAGTGAAGTTGCATAAGGATGGGAGATTGGAGAGGGAAAAGCCTGAGTCTCTGATGGTGCGGGGGCCGAGGAAGGCAAACCACCCCTGGACTGCCACCTCTGGACTGCTTTTCTGTGCAGGGAGGGAAATATAAATCTCTGTCTCACTGTCCTGGTTCTCTGTATCACATGCCCCAGAACCTACCTGAACAGAGAGTGCCATTTCTCTCTCCAGCAAGTACATAGAGAAACAGAGGCTCAGGAGGAGATGCCCAGTGCAGAGCTCGGGGCTGATCCCATTCAAATGGGAAGACAGTGGGGCCACCTCTGAGGCCGCCTGGAGGGTTCCGCAGGACACTTCACAAGAAGCCTGTGGCTCTGTATCAGCCAGGAGAAGGTGTCCAGTTGGCAACCGTGGCACCAACATCCCCCTATCTCCTTCAGACCCACAGCCTCTGCAGAGGCTGGGTCGCCTGAGGTCCGGGCACACTGGTGGGGCAGACCCTGCTGGACTTTGGCAGAGGAATCCAGCCCCCCGCGCCCCGTCCCCAGCATGAAAGGCTAACCACTCCTGCAGAAAAGAACTTGGGTTTATTTGCAGTAAGAACTGTGGTCTGAAAAAACCCATTGGCAAATGTACAGTGTGTGTTCCATTTGGGGTCGCTGCCACTGTGGGACCCCCAGATCCCTGACCCGCATGCACTGGGCTCCTACATGTTCACAACCAATCTCAGGCCCCAGGTCCTAAGTCCCCTCCAGAGGGCGTCCCAGCTCCTGCTGAAACCATCCGTGTCCCAGCCTGCCCCCAGCTCTCCAACCATCCTGCTTAGTGCAGTGCAAAAACCAAACCAAACACAAATTTCGTAACAAACACAAAACAAAACAATTCACAAAAACCAGGGTTCTAAATTATTTTTCTCAGTGTCCTTCGTTATCAGGATGACTTGTTTTGCAATGAACTAAAATATACATCATTTTCCTGCTATTACAAAATCTCTTCCTTATTATTCACAGATATATAACGGGAGATTTGGATGAAATAATTACAAACATTTTTTTCCCCTTAAAAAGCAAACAAGCCAAACAAAACACAACAAAACAAAGAACCCCAAACCAAAACACAAGAACGTTCTAACAACAGTAAACACAGACAGGGCTGGCTGGCTTCCCTCCTCCTGGGCTCAGGCTGGGCTGGCGGGGCTGAGGGTCCCGTGCAAAGTGCTCGGTGCACCCTGATCCCTGACCACTGACCACACACAGTTGGGTGTGCGCTCTCGAGGCCAACTCCTCGCCGCCCTGGCCCCCCGTTTCCCCACATTTCACAAGGCTTTGCAGGTGTCTTTCTTTTCCCCTATTGCTCCCCATCTTCCTGACCCCTCCCCACCTCTTCCCCATGCCCAGGACACTGGCATATGTGCCAGCCTGGAGGCTACAAGGCCAGCCTCAGAAAGGAACCCCCCAGGGTGCAATGTGGTAGCCAGCCCCCACCCCCAGCAGGGACCAGCCTCTCCAACCCCCAGCCTGGACCTGGTCCCCTCCCCGCACAGGGCTGTGCAGTTAACCAAAGGCAAAAGGGGCCACAGGAAGCCCAGGTCTCACCAGCAGCTTTGGCACAGAGCTTGGAGTGAGACTGCCAGGAGGTCTCACACAACAGCAGGGTAGAGAAACTAGGGTCTGACCAAAGCCACCAGAGCTCAAAGGCCAGGAGACATCAGGAGGAGGAAGGTAGTGGGGTAGAGCCACCCCCAAGAGCACTTATTTTGGGCTGGCCACAGGCCCGTGTGTGGGCTGCAGAAGCCCTTGGAAGGAAGACCTGCCAAGGACCAGAACTAACATCACGTGGCAAGGCTGGGAAGACCCTCAGAGACCACCTTGCAGGACACAGGAGACCCAGAGGGGAGCGGCCTCCTTCTGGAGGGGAATGTGGGCAGCACAGACTTAGCGAGGGGAAAACCCTGTTTTTCCCCTGCCCGTTTCAGGGTTTACAAAAGATGTACCTATCCTGCAGCAGGGCAGGGCAGACACATTCCTAGGATTCAGGCAAGGGGCTCTCAGGGTGAGGGCAAATAACAGTACCATTGCCTACGGAGTGGGGCTAGCAATTTCATCATTCCTAAGGACTTTCCCGAGATGGAGTCTGCCCTGGGGGTCCCTGCATGACCCACGGTGCAAGGAGGTGAGGAAGTCAGGGAAAGTCCCAGGGAGACAGAGCGACTGCAGAGGGTCCCCTGCAATGCTCTCTTCTCCTGCACCCAAGCCCAGCTGGGACTAAGCCAGTGTCGCAGCAAAGAGCTGGCTCTGGTCCTGTCTGCCTCTCAAAGCCTGAAGCCTCCCTCTGGGAGCAGCAGGAAAAAACAGGAGAGCTCAGAGTCCAGGGGCTGAGTCAAAGGGGCTTGTGGAAGGTCCCCTCTGCTGCCCCCAGCCCTCCCTGGGATGGCATCCACTGTTTCAGCCTAGGCTCCTGAACACCATCTCAGCCCAACAGTGGCAGGCAATTAGCTTCTGGCCTCAGCTCTCACCCACAGCCTGGCTGGCAATGCTGCGGGCACCCCCTCTCCTCAGTACTCTGGGTGGGGTGGCCCAGATTTCCTCTATGTACAAGAAGTGTACCCAGTGACAGGTCACTGAGGGCAGACTGATGGTGAAACAGTTTGCATTTAGGATTTGGAACACACTCCCCATTCCTACAGGCTGTTGAAGACTGGAAGGCTGGCGGACATTTCCCCTCTGAATCACGGAGGAGCTAGAGACAGACTTCAGAGCTGCAGCGATTCTCCCAAGAAAATCCATGCGTTCTTGTCCACATTCTGGCCATCACTGTGCGTCCTGTCCACATTCTGGCCATCACTGGATGCCTTCCTCTTCTACATATGTTGAAGGAAACCAACCGATCTGAAAAAGATGGCAGGATCATGTGTATGTATTTGTGTGTGTGTGTCAGGGGTAAGTAGAGGCTCATGGAGTTGAGTGACCCTTCAAAAGGCCAGAGCTCTCATCCAGGCCTGCCACACAGAGGGACCTTGGCAAAGAGGCTGAGAAGGTGGTGGAGTCATAGCTCAGGAGTAAGAACAACCTAGAAATACACCAGCCTTGGCCAGTTTAAGATGATCTGCCCACTCTCTTGCTGCCAGTCGGAAACAGAGGGACCTTGGCAAAGAGGCTGAGAAGGTGGTGGAGTCATAGCTCAGGAGTAAGAACAACCCAGAAATACACCAGCCTTGGCCAGTTTAAGATGATCTGCCCACTCTCTTGCTGCCAGTCGGAAAAAAAATAAAACCTCTCAAGGAAAATAACATTATCCAGAACCTCTACAGTTTTTTATACACAAGCTTGGCATTCATTGGACCAAATGACAAAAAACCAAGAGAAAACGCAGACAATAGAAACCAATCCACCAGTATTGAAGTTATCATTCAGGGTATGTAAATAATTTGTATGTTTGAGAAAAGTGATAAAAGGGCAGACAATTTTTACCAGAGAACTGGAATCAGAAATCAAATTTAGGGCCGGCCCGGTGGCGCACTGGATAGTGCACCGCTTGGGAAGCGCAGCAGCGCTCCCGCCTGAGGGTTCGGATCCCACATGCGGACTGGTTCCCGCTCACTGGCTGAGCGAGGCGTGGGAGCAGTGCCGAGGGTTGCGATCCCGTTGCCCGTCCCCGGTCCGGTACGGGGGCAACACTGAGGGCTGCGATCCGTTGCCGGACACAAAAAAAAAAAAAAAAAAAAAAAAAAAAAAAAAAAGAAATCAAATTTAAAAATCCTAGAACTGAAAAACATAATGACTAAAACTAAGAATCCAATAGAAGGATTTAAAAGTAGATTAGACAAAGTAGAAGAGATGACTGATAAACTGAAAGATAGGTCAATCAAAAGTAACTACATAGAAAAACAGAGAGGAAAGGGATGGAAATGCATAAAACAGGCCTTGGTAAAAAGACCTAATATTCATGTGAATGGAGCCCTAGAAAAAGAAAAGAGAGAAAATGAAGCAGATACCTTGTCTGCAGAGATAGAATAGTGGCTGAGAAATTTCTAAAACTAATGAAAGACATCAAGGCACAGATCCAAAAATCTCTGCAAATCCCAAGCAGTACGAATACAGAAAAAAAATCACAGCTAGGCACATTTCAGTAAAACTGATAAAAAACATAGGCAAAAAAATTATTTTACATGCAGCTCATGGGGGTGATGGTGACATTTCCTTCAAAGAATCAACATTAAGAATGTTCATTGACTTTTCTACAGAAATGATGGAAGCCTGAGGACAACAGAATAACATCATCCAAATGCTGAAATAAAACATTTGCCTACTTCGAATTCTTTAACCAGTGAAAATATTCTTCAAAAAGCACTCAAAACAATTGCTTGCAGAAAGGATATAGGTTCCCTTGGAGAAATGACTGATTCCTGCAGGAGAATGAATAAGTAAAGGAGAAGAGAATGTTTCCCTTATAGTAGAATGCCAACTAATACCTTCAGAAGAAACCATCACTATTGAGAAAAATCACTATTTTTCAACCATGATAGAAATAATCTAATAAACAAATTCTTCAATGAACAATAAAACTAGTAGGTGAAATTATGATGAGGAATGGGATATTTACCTTGGCTCAAAGTATTACCTTGCAAATTATTTATTAATTACAGTAACTTCACAGCAGAGTAACTTGACAGATACCACCTTACCCAAGTGATCAACACTAATGTCACAAATAATGGGACAAAATTGTCATCACATACATCCTGATAGGGCACTACGGCACTAAGAAAGAGATAATACCCTCACTGTGGTGTTCCCACCAAAGATGTATAATCTATTCATGAAGAAACATCAAGCAAACCTAAATTGAAGGATGTTCTACAAAAATAACTGGCCCAAACTCTTCAAATATGTCAAAGTCATCTAAGAAAGAGAAAGCCTGAGGAATGTTTCAGATTACAGAGAGTTAAGGGTCATGGCAAGTAAACGCAATTCATGATCCTGAACTGGATTCAGGACCAGGAGAAATAGCTAGAGAAGACATTATTGGGACAACTGGTGAAATTTGAATATTAACTGTAGATCAGATAATCATATCAAAGAGGAATGTCCTTGAGCTTAGGAAATACTTAGGGGAAAAGGAATAGAATTTCTGCAACTTACTCTCAAATGGGTTAGAGAAACTTAGGCAGAGAGAGAGAGGGAGAGAAAGAGAGAGTGCACACAAACATTAAGGAAAATGGGCAAAACATTTGCAACTGGTAAATCTGGGCATATGGGAATTCTTTGTACATTGCAACTTTAAGCGTGAAATTGTATCAAAAATAAAAGTTACAAACACTTTACAATAAGATCATTAAAAATGAAAGTGAAATAAGTGTGCTTTTAGATCCAAGAAAAATGGAGAAGTTATTATTAGCAGACACACTAAAAAAGCATACTAAAGAGAGGGAATGTCAGGCAGCAGGAAAATGGTCTTGGGTGGAAAACCAATAATGCAGGAAAGAATGAGGAGCACTGGGAAATACAAATAGGTGGTAAATCTAAATGAACATAACTGCCTAACACAAAAATAATGTCTTATTGGGTTTGAAAATAGGTAGAATTAAGATACATGACACTTGCACAGAAGTTGAGAGGAAAATAAACACAATTAAAGGTTGCAAGGTCCTTCCTTGCATTGTCTGGGAATCAGTAAACTTACTCATTTAAGGTAATCTCTAAGAAGTCAAAGTGCATACTGTGCCCTGTAAGCTAACTACTTAAGTAGCAGAAAAAGAGTGTATAACTAATCAAGGGTAGGGGAAGTGGGATAGAAAAAAATATCAATTAACCCAAAAGTAAGCAAGAAAGGAGAAAAAAGGAGGAACAGATATGACAAACAGAAAATAAATAGATGAATTTAAACCTAAATGTCTCAGTAATTACATTAAATGTAAATGGACTACATATGCCTACTCTAAGGCAAAGATTGTCAGAACAGGCCATCTTTAAAAAATCCCACTGTTGGGGCCGGCCCGGTGGCGCACTGCTACAGTGCGCCGCTTGGGAAGCGCGGTGGCGCTCCCGCCGAGGGTTCGGATCCCACATACAGACCGGCCGCTCACTGGCTGAGCGAGGTGCGGGCGCAACACCGAGGGTTGCG